GTGTGTGTGTGTAGTTGTTGCTATAGGGTTTAACACCATTTTTCAGCACAAGATAGGCTATACCTAGCGGCCAGTATTACTGGTGGAGGAAGAAAAGGACCCTAGAAAACCCCGGGAAGAAACACCGACCCTCGAGAAGCTACTGGCATATATATATATATATATATATATATATATATATATATATATATATATATATATATATATATATATATATATATATATATATATATATATATATAGTTAGAGAGAGAGACAATTTTAGAGAGAGGGGGGCAATTTTAATTTTAAAGCGTTGGAAGCAAATTTTAAGTTCAATATTATTTTAACAAATTTTGCGAATGCCGTGATTACAAGGGGTCACGCGCGTTGTGAGCTTGAAACCCTGCCAAAATGATGCAAAACAACCGGATAACTAATAAGACGTTGAATGTGACGAGTTGTAACGAGTTCATAGTCGGAGTATAATTAACATACGTTGAAGTTCATTAAATAGAACTTACCGCCTGTCCGGAAGGACTGCCTGTGTGTGTATACAATATTTAAACACTCTTTATCACGATGGACAGGTTACATCTATCTCACCTAAGTACTTAAACATTCTTGGTGATTTGCGTAAATTTATGGAGCTGAGTAGCTAATGTCCATGGATATGGAATGTGCCGCAACAGATGCTGCAATGTAAATGAGTGAAGTTTTATTGTGTGCGTGTGTGTGTGTGTGTGTGTGTGTGTGTGTGTGTGTGTGTGATTTAGACTTTTAACGTAGCTTTAACAATTTTTCAGTCATATCGCTACGATGTCTACAGTGTGACAGTTTATAGTGATGTCTAGTAGGCCTACTGGGATATCATGCCGAAAACATGTGGCATGATGACCCACCTAGTCATATTATCCTTACACCAGGCCGACCAGTCCTAACACTAACCTCTTAATGCTGAGCATCAAGCGAGGCAGCTGTATGTACTATTTTTTAAAGTCTTTGTTTTAACTTAGCGGGGTTCAAAGCCACGACCTCCTGCATCCGAAGCGGACGTTCAAACCTCTAACCCACCGGAGTGGGCCTGTTATTTTTGAAAGTAATGACTTATACATTAGTAGGTATAATTAATAAAGAACAAGGGAAAACAACAATTTAACAATTTAAACGGCTATTTAACAATGTGGACATAACATGTTAAGGGAAATGGGAACTAGGCATCTTTGCCATCGACAGACCAATGCAGCCAACACGGACTGACTTTAGCTAGAATCAAAGCCATATAACTTTAATTACGTACCCGACATTATACCAACTTGGCTTATGGTGATGCCTTAAACATTGCATACAATGTCTTTTTATTGAGTTATTTTTTTGTGAAAGAAGTTCTTTTTTCACTTTAAATATAGTTGGACATCAATACATCAGTTACTTCCAGAGAAACACAACAGCCGATTAGACCGTAATACATTCATGGGAATCACAAATTAAACTGTGTCGGCTGCGCTTTAAATTGCGGAAAGTATTTAATCTTGCCGAAAATAGTTCTTATATCATAACAAAGAATCAATAGATTATGTGATGATTTGGGTGTAGGGTATGCTTTACTGAACACATCTTAATTGCAACTAATTAATCTCAACGTACTTAGACACCGCAGCCTGGTACATCTTATATACGACTAAATATTGTAGATTATGTGGGTTGAACACCTTTTTCAACACACAATATACAGCTATGCCTTGGGGAAATTCAGAGAAGAACCACCGACCGACGGGAAGCTGTTGGCAAGCTTTCTTACATACCCATAATGGCCGAGACGACATTCGAACCCATGGTGAAATTCCTGTCATCTGTAAAGGCATGCGCATTATATCTCTCTGCAATCCCGAGTCCCACTGAATATTTTAACATACATTCATAAACCAGGTTGGTAGGTATTATTCAGGACTCACATACAGAACTTAGCTGGTTACACCTTAGAAACGACTAAATAATGTAATTTAGATACAGAAATCGGCTAGCTACATATCATATACACAAGACTAAATACCGCGCGTAAGATACATACATCAGCTGGGTAGTTTCTATACACGACTAAATACGGTAACTTAGATATAGAACTTTGACGTATATGTCCTATACAGGCCTAAATACCGTAACTTAGATACAAAAATCAGCTGGGTACGTCTTATATACGACTACATATGTTAACATGCAAAACAGAAATCGGGGATCCCGAGTGGCCGAAAGGTATAAAGCGCTGACTGTTACGGATCACTGCCGGCTCTCCTCTATCTACGTGGGTACAAGTCTCAGGCTCGGCCCATGTTGACATGTGAGAAAGCATACCAGCAACTTCCCGTGGAACTGTGGTTCTTTCCGGGGTTCTCCCATGGACTTACTGTCTGCCATATACAGCCTAACGTGTGCAGGAATAAACGGTAACTAACACAAATCTTTTGGGTACGTCGTATACACTGATATATACCGCGTCGAACAACGATAGTATGCCTTATGCACACCTAAATATAGCGACACGTTTGCGTAAATCAGTGTGAAAAGTAAAGGAAACTTTAACAAATTAAACAGCAATCGCCAAGAATTTAGGGCTGGAAAAAGGTAACATAACTTTAATTACGTCTGTAAACCTTGGGGCAGTAGTAAAGCTAATTAATTTAATTAGTAATTAACTGAGTTCAAGAACCATTAAGTCAAGCTATTAAACTTTGTATTCTAAGCACGCTTCAAAACGATTACTCAAATTCTGTCGATATAAAATGAGAAACCAAATTGATGTTACTAGAAGGCAGTGTGATTAAAACTTTGTATGGTTGTGGCAATAGATAGCTGTAGCAGTTGTTGTTTGGCTTAACGCCATTTTTCAGCACACGATAGGCTATTCATGGCGGCCAGTATTAATGGTGGAGGAAGAAACCGGGAAATCACCGGAAAGAACCACGACCCACGAGAAGCTATTGGCAAGCTTTCTCACATATCCACATTCCCCGATCTTAGACTCGAACCCATGCAGTCAGAGGTGAGATGGCAGTGATCCGTAACGGACAGCGCTTTAGACCACTCGGCCACTCGGGCCCTGTAGCAGTAGTAGTGTTGGTGGTATTAAATATAGTAGTAAGGATAATAATGATTTCAATATCGTAATATTCGTGACGAATATGTTACATTAAAACAAACAAAATAGAAACCTGCTAACGTTTTCTTGTAGATTTGACTGTATTTTTATATATCAGTATAGGCTCGGCCGCGGGCAGTGTAGCACAACTCGGACAAAATTCCAGGGGCCCATAACGGTCACGGAGCCCACCGCCGTCACAATTTGTAATTAATAGGAGTCTACTAGAAAATGTTTCCTAGGGCCCACACATCCTGTCCTAGGCCCTGCATATATGCAATTCATTTCTGCATGGATCTATTGTTATACAGGAATATATGCAATTGATTTCGATATGAATCTATTGCTATACAGGAATATATGCAATTGATTTCGATATGAATCATATTTTAGATTTGGGATGTAAATGTATAACTTAATTAATTAGTGCATTTAACCATTCTAATAAAGTACAATCTAGTATTCAGTATTCATGGTTGAGTACAAGCCAGTGTTCAGATATAGCACAAGACAGTGTTCATTATTCATACAGAAACACGACAGTTGTCAGTATTCAAACAGAATACAGCAAGCGTTCAGTATTCTAATAGTATATAAGAAAGCTAGTGTTCGGTAATAAAAAGAGTACATTTAGTGTTCAGTATTTAAACATGCATTTCTTCAGTATTCTATTAGACTACTGAATAATGTTCATTATTCTAACAGAGTACAAGTGTTTAATATTATATTAGAGTACTAGATAACATTCATTATTTTATTAGAGTACTAGATATTGTTCATTATTCTAATAGAATACAAGCAATTGTTCAGGATTATGTTACAGTACAGAGTACAAAAGTGTTCAGTATAGAGTTTTAGATAGTGTTTAGCATAATATTAGAGTACAAGCTACTATTCAGTGTTCTAACAGAGAACAAACTAGTGTCCAGTGTGCTAATATAGCACAAGACACTGCACAGTATGTCACTATTGTTCTCTTGTCATTACAATTATGTGTGTGTAAATGTGTGTGTGTGTGTGAGAGAGACTTTTAACGTAGCTTTAGCAATTTTGTAATCATATCAAACTTGTAATCAGCAATAAAAATGAAAAGCGTTACAGACAATCAACACTATTTGTTATTATAATTTGCATGCAATTTGTTTTAAGTGGCTGTCCTTCAGTGTCATAATTGTTTCAAATTGGTCGATTGACACTAATTAGTAAATACTTGATACAGATAAATCAATGCTTGTATTCGAGGCATTGAACTGCGTCATATTATTCCTTGAGACCAAACAGGTATATGAGAGACAAGAGTTGCTATTTATGTTCCTGCTGGTACAAATCCACGATTGCTGAAGTTAGAGTTCATCATTAGAGATTTTATATCCACATCACTAGTCCATAATAAAGAAATGTGTTCTTAGTGTGGTCACAGGCACAGCTAACAGTGCATGAATTTTATCCTTGCTCCAAACATAACAATGCCGTGTACCAAACAGTACTAGCATGGAACATTTATTGTATCTGCACTTGGGGACACTTGCACTTATTTTTTTTCTATAGAAAAGGTATTCCTCTAGTGCATACACATGTAAAACAAATAAAATTTATGCATGAGAGAGAGAGAGAGAGAGAGAGAGAGAGAGAGAGAGAGAGAGAGAGAGAGAGAGAGAGAGAGAGAGAGAGAGAGAGAGAGTTTAACTTAGCTTTAACAATTTTTCTCAGCATGGTGGCTGTTTATAGTAATGTCTAGCGCTTGGGAATCATGCGGTAGACATTTAGCATCATATATCACACAATCACATTATCCTGACACCAGGCTGGCCTGTCCTAACACCCAACTCATAATGCTGAGTGCCAAGCGAGGAGGCTGCTAGTATTATTTTTTATGTGCTTGGTATAACTCGGCCGGGGTTCAATCCCGCGACCTCTCGCGTCTGAGGCGGACGCTTCAACCACTTAAGCCATCGAAACGGTCGGATAAGAGTTTATATATCAGCTAATTTAGCATAATTAATTACTAGAAAATCAAGCCTTAATGGCAGCGTGTTAGTCCAACAACGCTAACAAATACAAGTTTTTTTTAAAGTTATGAATATATTGTTTAAATTTGTTGACCTGCCAATAAATTTAATAGAGATCAATAGACAAAATAGCTTTTTATAAAATGAACTGCAGCTGCACGTACAGCACGCCGAGCATTTGCAGATATATGCATGTAATGGCTTATAAAATGTGGGTACAGGAGGACAATTGTGTTAATGTGCAAAGAAAATAATGTATAATCCCGGCTCTCATAGAATATCCTATGGCTCTGAAGATACTCTCTGTCTGTTATCAGTGATCTTATGATAGTATATGTCTGTTATCAGTGGTCTTAGGATAGTATATGTCTGTTATCAGTGGTATTAGGATAGTATATGTCGGTTATCAGTGGACTTAGGATAGTATATGTCTATTTTCAGTGGTCTTAGGATAGTATCTGTTATTAGTGGTCTTAGGATAGTATATGTATGTTATCAGTGGTCTTAGGACAGTGCATGTATGTTATCAGTGGTCTTAGGATAGTATCTGTCTGTTATCAGGGTCTTAGGATAGTATATGTCTATTATCAGTGGTCTTAGAATAGTATATATTTGTAATCAGTGGTCTTAGGATAGTATATGTCGGTTATCAGTGGTCTTAGGATAGTATATGTCTATCATCAGTGGTCTTAGGATAGTATATGTCGGTTATCAGTGGTCTTAGGATAGTATATGTCTATCATCAGTGGTCTTAGGAAAGTATAAGTTGGTTATCAGGGTTTACTTGGATCAAGATTATTGGTTTAATGTTCTATCATATCATAAAATTTTGAAGTAGATTCGTCGTTTTAATGACGACCGTGAATATATGAAAGATGACCATGTTATCGAAGACTGTTGTCTGCGATTGGTTATGGGGAAGTGGATGCTGTGAAGTGGAAATGGATACTGTGAAAGGGGCAATTCATTTTGTCAGCTGTATTTAATATACTAAAGGGTAAATTAGGCAATCCCACGTTTGTTGACAGCATACCAAAAAGAGACCCGGATTGAATTCGTCAAACAGCTACTCGACAGATAAGAACAAAATGATCAGATAACTTTGAATGAGACTGTCAGAGGTGATGACACACGGAAAATAATTTGATCCAACCTAAGGAAAGTCATAAAATTTGAATAATAAAAAAGCAGAGATCACAAAATGTTTGACGAAATCGGACTTTGAAGAGTATTTTATAAGTATTAGTTGTCAATGCAAACGGACCAGTCGTCCAAGTAACCATATATGACTGCTAGTGTCAATGGCCATATTTATACATCCAACGAGTGTTTCTAAAAGCTATGAATCATTAACAAACCACCCGTCAGTGTACCAGTACTCCGTGTATGCGTCTACGCCTTGCAAACATAAAGGGCATAACTCTGACGTCGTGAGAGACTTTCATAAAGAGCACGACATCCACATCCACATTTTGTCGCTGCCCTGACTTAGCTGTAAGTCATTTTTGACTGAATCCAGTTATCAAAGATTTCCTGATGGGCTGACGATTTGGAAATCGTCATGTGGATAGAAAGAAGTGCGGTAGTTTTCCCCTGCATGAACAGCATATCAAAACGTGAACTGAACATAGCAATTAATAATTGATAATCGGACATAGATGTGTGTAGAGGTATATGGGGCAGTACAGTGCGGATGTCCAAACGTACCCTTCACTGCTTAAGAACTTTGTTCTACAGCACACTAAAATTTAGAACATTTTAAATATTTCTCGCATTAGTGCAAACACATACACACACGTACCTGCACATCTATCTATCTATCTATCTATCTATCTATCTATCTATCTATCTATCTATCTATCTATCTATCTATCTATCTATCTATCGATCGATCGATCGATCGATCGATCGATCGATCGATCGATCGGTCGGTAGGTAGGTGTGTGTATGTTCTGAATAAGGATTGTGTATTGTGCGTTGGCAAAGACACACGACTTAAAATGCTGGCATACATTGTGTGTGTGTGTGTGTGTTAGAGAGAGAGAGAGAGAGAGAGAGAGAGAGAGAGAGAGAGAGAGAGAGAGAGAGAGAGAGAGAGAGAGAGAGAGAGAGAGAGAGAGAGAGATGTGTAACTCTCACAGTATGACATTATGAACACTCATGGACAAAATGAAACACGCTTTCACACAACAACGCCTAAATGAAATTTATAAATAACGTTCTTAAAGGATTTTATAAGGTATAATCAATATTTATGTCAAACACAAAGCAATAAAGGATAAACAAATACATTTACTGACATTAAGATGAGAATGAATGCCAATTTAAATTAAACAACACTCTTCAAATCACGAATGCTTAAGGCAGAAATGATTAGAGTTATGCACGGTAATGATAATTATGATCATTGCACTGTTAAAATAAGATTTGACGATGATAAGATTTGACGATGATAAGATTTGACGATGATAAGATTTGACGATGATAAGATTTGACGATGACAGAGTCGCTACAGAGAGAGAGAGAGAGAGAGAGAGAGAGAGAGAGAGAGAGAGAGAGAGAGAGAGAGAGAGAGAGAGAGAGAGAGAGAGAGAGCGAGTTAAACAGCATACATATACATCAATGCAAGTTCTATGTATTTAAAAAAAATCTTAGATATCCCCAAATAATTGTTTACGCATTGCATGTATTCAGCTGAACTTTGTGTTTTGTATACCATTAGAATCAACAGGTTAGAATTTGTTTCAGTTATGATAAAACGATTATATCACTGACGAATTCCCAGTAATATTTAGGAAAAAATAAGAACGATCCAGATTTCTGGGATCGGAATTCTAATGAAGAAAAAAAGTACCACTTAAAAGTATCAAATTCGGCCAATTTGACCAAGTTTGCCTCATTGCATTGACCAGAAAAAGAAAGCACGCAACTCTAATGTAATTTATAATGTAATTAGGTTTGCGAATAGATGACTCATACGACTCATAAAATCATGCCTTTTTCTTGTTTTCTTTTAAATTTTGCTGTTTTTCATTATTTTAAAAATATTATATACTTTTATATCAACTGGTCGATTTTTAAATCGTATAATCAAAGCGAAACCAGCATATGCATCGAAAACAATATTTACTTGTATAAATAATTTGAATGTTTACGAAAAATATACTTTATATATGTATCTATAAGAGATATGCTATTAAACAGATGCCATTTCACTGCTACAGTAAAAAAAAAATATTGTACGAAAGCCATTTCTCGATTTTTTTGAATAACACAGAGCGACGAATTTTCCCTAGGACACGCACTTTATTCGGGATGAATTTAGTAATAATTAGGACAGCTATAACTCGACGAAAGAGCAAGTCTCGACAGGAGATAAAATAATTTGCTGACAACTGTGTTACACTTCCAGTACTCGTTAGATTATGATATGAAGAAGTGTTTACATCCGCGTACTCTGACTCTGTTGACAACCTGGGTTTAATCCTTCATGCTCTCACCTATTAGTATAACCTTATAATCAATATTAACTGTATTATACACTTTATGTATGCCGTAAATGCATCATTGGAGGTATTTTCTTGAATATCTTCAAGCAACCTCATGTTACAGAGTCCTTGAATTTTCTTTCACAATAGGGATGCATGTACAGATAACTGAGTTAATCACTTGCATTCAATGAGGTCATCCTTAATGTCAGATACCAAAGTACAGCTCTTTATGTCCCCGTCTCCAACATCAAAATAAATCTATAAACTACAGCACAAAAGCATGTTTTGTAGGATTGGGCCAAGGAGTAAGGATTTAAGATAATGGTCGTTAAACTGAATTTTTTTCATCAAAATGCAACGTTTTTCCCACACAAGAACTACTTAGAACAATATCTAACTATAAAGTAACGTTTAAATATGTGATATTTACTTCAATTTTTACAACAAAGCGTATGATTTATAAACGGCAATAACAGTATCTTACAGAGTAACATTCACATTTGTCTCTCTGTGTGTCACGGCTGCCAAATATGAGATCGCGGATTCGAAACTCGCGGCAGGATCCAATTTTTTTATAAACTTTTTTTAAAAGTATTTTTATATTCAAACTTTCTTAATAACTCACTAACCCCGATTTATTTCTTTTTTATTACCTTCTTTTAAAATTCTATCTTGAAACCTTTTGTTATCATCCCGTCCTAGGACGGCCAATAGCTGGTTTAAAATATAAAATTACTTCCGACCCACAAAAATTCATCTTATGCTAAAGAAGCCAAAAGACGTAGAAACCAACACTGGAATTGTCTATCAAACCAGTTTCAAGGACCATATGCATAGTGCAAATATTGGTGATGGAACGAACATGAGAAATCAATTATTGGGTGGCAATATGGTAATGTTTACCGATCCAGGCTAGCAATTACTCACTCTCTAAACTGTCTAATTGTTTACAAATGCGATATTCGTCTAGTAACAGAAAAGATCAAACAGCGCAATACTTTTCATAATTAATGACATACACTCTCAAATAATCCTCGCCAGATATGCTTTAAAGCTATTAGCTCTTATGTTGGCATTTAATACAGTGAACGAGAAATATTGTTATCGCAAATAGCACACCCACCCCCTACAGCCAGTTTTTCATGGACTGCCATGAAATTTGGCAAATATTATGTACATCACCTAAAAGTGTGCATGTCAATAAAATATACACCACAAAACCTTTCTTTCATAAATGTTCTCAAACCTTTACGAGTGTTTTCAAATTGTGTATATTTTCCTCAGCAAGTCGAAATATAGCCTAAACCTATCAGTACCATAGTTGATGAAGGTAACTTTTAGCGTCAGGCCTACTTTGCCTGCTTCAGAAACATTTATCTAATAATAAAAACATTTTTTAAAATAATGTTTTAAAAAACATGTCGCAAAACACCCTGTTTAGATCGTCCAGAATGTTTCCACTAACATTAATCAAAAAGTAAATATGTCGCGATCTGAACCATCCAGTGCATATAATAGTGTAGTTCTTTGTATTTTGTTTCTTTGATTTTATGTTCCTTATGACTTGCACATAAATTGAATTTGTGGTCTGAACCTTATTCTAACTGTGACATAGAATATGGTTCTTCATTTAAGTTTATACCTTGCGAAAATCTTGTGTAAAAGCGGAATTATTTTCGTAAAACATATTGGAGAAATAAAGTATCTCTGAAAGTGTTGCCTAGATCAGCCTGGATCTGCAGGCTTCGATTGTCTCCTTGCAACGAACTTCATTCAACAAACCAAAACCGTTGATATTTTGAGATCCCATTAAACAGCAGCCAGCCAGTTAACCAGATATTTATGTATAGGATTTCACGGTACATCAGCACAATACTGGTTAAATGATGATATAAAAGATCTAAAAATGTAAAGTAAAAAAATTGGACAAAAAATCAGGAAGATAAATGCATCCATATCAAAGTAAATATATGGCACAATGTAAAAGTAATGACGTGAAACCTATGTTAAAGAATATAAATGAAACGTATGCTTAGAAATGGAATGAAAACACAAATACCTGCATATCTCCCTTGCTGGATTTGAAATTCCTGTGTGAAACATAATACTAAATATGATCGAATGATCTCATTTGGTCTCCAGTCATGTTACATGTACGTGTGTATGACTGTGTGTGATTTGGATCTTTTACAATAGCTTTAAAAAAAGTTTCACTGTGATATCTAGAACTGGGGCGTCGTGAAGCAGACACGAAGCATCATGTCCCACCCAATCGCATTATCCTGACACCAGACAGACCAGTCCAAACTCTAAACTCTTAATGCTGAGCGCCTATAGAGACAGCTGTTAGTACTGTTTAAATAAGTTTTTGGTATGGCTCGGCGGGTTCGAACCCGCGACCTCCCGCATCAGAGTCGGACGCTTTAACCATTTAGCCACCGGAGCGGTTACATGAACGAGTTCATATGACTTAATGATGATGGCATTTGATCCCAAACTCCCCACTCCACCCAAGATCTGAAACCTTATTTGTTTTTTTTACTCCTTGTGAAACATTACACCAAAAATGACCACCAGACCGCGTTTGGTATAGATTATGTTTAGGTTACAAATAAAAGTTCATATCTATGAAATTATGACCTTTGATCTCCATCTCATACTTTCCATGGGAATATTTGAAGGATCTGAAAACTTCGCTGTTCTCTTAGTGTATCTTCGTGTAACATCGTAGCTAATACGATGACTTTACCTCAGTCGATGCAGATGCAATTCAGATGACAACCTTTATCGAGTAATAGATTGATGCAACGATTGACGGAAATAAACTTTTTAAAAATATCTTGAAAAATGAAGATATAATTATGTGCACAATATATTGCTTGGTTCCGCTATACCTGGGCGTTTTCCATGTGTAAATTAGTGTAGAGGAGACACAATATGGAGCAAGAATTCTGGGAGATGGTGTAGAGGTGTGTAAATATACTTTTAAAAACAATTTGATGAATAAGAGTATTAACATCAGATAATGAAATCGATTGACTTGCATTAAAAGGTAAATCACCACATGACAAGTTACACTCTGGCAATGCAATTGAAGCAAAGAATCTTGACCAGTGGGACATCATGTCGGCCTGAGCTTGGCAATAATCAAAACTGCAACCGTTTTGTTATGAGTCTGGTACCTTGCTGATTGAAATACACCTCGAGAAAAGGTTTTTGAGTACCAAGAATATGCCATGTACTTCCTATTCAATTCAGCATATATCAAAAGCAATGGTTAAACAAAGAATGGTAGGATGCACATGGAAAGCAGAGGGGGAATACATGTATGAATGCAAATGGAAATTCCTTGAGCAGTAGTGGCATTAGCATGGCATGAATGCTGTAGTTACCATACATACTCGCTTATAAATCAATTCCAAGGGCAAGCAGTCCAGACTCTGACCGGTCATTGCATAATGAACCAAAAGATCAGGGTCAATGTTGAATTGTCCTAACTGATTACTCCGAACACACTCCAAAGACCTAGATAGGCCAGTTAATTGAGTGACAGGAGTTCTTGGTCTGTGAAGTTTCAAGTTCAACTTGTCTTGTATAGAAACACCTAATTATTTAAAGTTTTTTCAATGGTAGCCACATAAACAATCTTTGAGAAAATACCATTTTTGCTTTCATGAATGAGTCTGCATTTGTGTGATTTGGATTTTTAATGTAGCTTTAAAAATTTGCTAGTCGTATCGCTATGATGACTGCAACATGGCAGTTTATAGTGTTGTCTAGCTTTGGGGCATCATGTTGCAACATGTAGCATCATGTCCCATCTTATCAAATTATTCTTACACCAGGCCGAACAGTCCTAACACTAACCTCTTAATAATGAGCACCAAGAGAGGAAGCTGTTAGAACCATTTTATAAGTCCTTTGGTATGACATGGCCGGGGTTCAAACACGCGACCTCCCGTATCCGAGGAGGACGCTCTAACTACTAGGCCAGAAGAGCAGTACTTTTATGAATGAAAAATATGCTGGAAGCATGTTCATACAATATAAAAAAAAAACAACAAAATACAAAACAACTATTAAAAAAAACAAATAAAGGTGTAGTATTACTTAAGAAGTTTATCTGATTTTTAAAATGTTTTCGCTAACAACTAATTAGGTTATATGGTGTATTGTGAAGAAAATGAACCATTTTTGATCAAAGCTGTTCTCATGAGAACTCAATAAAAATTGTTTTAATTTTCGTATCTCATTTTACACCATATCAGTAAATAACTAAATGTTAACAATATAAAAATGAAGTCCAATAAAACTAGATTTGTAAGTTAGCAAGTGTTTTTGGAATATTCACTTCTAAAATTAATATACATTTTTATATAACAAACTCCTCTTGCCATGATAAAAATGCTAAGATTCATTAAAATATCTAAAATAGTTCCAAAGAAATTACTTGCAAAATCAGATACAGGCAGACTAATTTTGTTTAAAGAATGGGGACAAGCCTTAAAAGGCTGAGTAACATAGGGACCAATGACAAGGCACTGTATAAAAAACATTGTCTAGTGAAGATACAAGACATTGTACAAAATACTTTGTCTAGCGATTATACAAGATCATGCCAAGTTTAAAGATGATTTTTTTTTCAAAAATGGTTTCAAACATAGGCAGATAATTCTAACAGCCATACTAGACTATCAAAGCCCCATTTTTCATGGAGCAGGCTTTTGTCACTATACAAAAAGATACCAAATTTTAGGAAGTTATTTCAAATAGTTAAAGTGTCACTGACAGACTAATAAACAAAACTGGTTATAGAAAACTAGGGATAATTCTTACAATGGTGACTAGACAAATTCCTAATTTTATTGGACACATTTTCCAGTCATGATAGATAAGTATACTAAGCATACATCTCTGTGACTTTAGGTGACATAAAGTAAAATAGAGAGGGATAGACATATCCAACTCCACTATAATCCCCTCCCTCCAAGATTGTCTACACTATAATCCCCTCCCTCCAAGATTGTCTACAGTAGGTCAAAAAAGAAAATGTAAAGAAAATTTAACATACTGTTTATTGCTGAATCACAGATAATCATTTCTAAAAATATATAGAAATTCACAATTTATACAGAAAAATATATTAAATTGACCCCCACCCCAATGAATCATAAAATTGTAAAAATTTAATCAGATAAATTAGTTTTATGATTTTATGTTAACAAAATGCCTCATTTACCTGATTGAAATTAAATGTACTAGTATTTAACAATACATTTATGTGATAATTACCTCCACATATCAGATGAGTGCATTCACAAAAGTAATTATGAATCAAAAACATTTTAATCGTTTATGATACTGTATACATATATTAAATAAAGCTGCAATACACAGATTTTTTTCCTATATTTTGTCATTGCTGTGAAAGAAGAATCCATTTACATAATTTATTCAAGGACATCAGAATTTTAATTTTTTTAAACATTCTTCAATTGTTTCTATAAATCTAAAGAGATTAAAACAAAATATGTCTATGCACCAATCATCCCTCAAAAAAAACGGAAATAATATGGACAATTGTGTAAACTGTAAAAAGGTCTGTGTATAATATTAAGATAAATTTATGAATCACATTTCTAAATAAATTTACAGTACAATGTCCATGATCCATTGCAAAACTACTCAAATTTCACACACAATGTTGTCTCTAAATATCTTTACAGCAATTTGCTCATATTCAAATTACATGGAAGATAATACAATATCATTAATGAATGTGTATATTTATAAGTAACTGTATTCAATATCTGTATTTTATCCAGGCTCTCTTCATATAAATAAACTACTATCAATAAGTGACATATTGGCATTATGTTTTACAATTGAAAAGTGATAGAATTGGATAGAATCTCAAATTTTAAAAAAATTAACAGTTGTGGAAAAATGTTTCAACTTCTCAAAATTATGAATATTTCATGCTAAAATAAAATACATGTAAATGTTATGATATGAATATATTATTCATAGCTATATGGCACAGCATAACGATGCATCAAAAGAGACAGCTAGGAATGACCGTGTTACCTCATACTTTATAGCTACTGAGGTCAATACTGACAACTAAAAATTACCATTTCAAGGAAATTCTGCAATGTACAAAATTGCCCCTGAATCTCGATATTGCTAGTGTCATAAAATGGAAGCCTGAGAGCAGTATCAACCATAAAATGATATAGTAGAATTGAAAAACAGAAATACAAAGGATGCTATTCTGGAAAAATCACAATGTTTATTTTTGCCCTACAATGTAGTTCACAGAGCAATTTTGATTCATCTACCACAAGAAAGCAGTTCCTATCCTGGTCCAATAATTATACATGTACTGAAATATATTCAATGGATGAAATATATAACTGTATAACACAGTTATAATACAATATGCTTATTAATAATTTCACAATAGTGACTTGTTTACTTTGTGACTAGATTTTTACATGTGAAAGCTGTATCAGACACAGTATATTTCAACTATAAAAGAACAAAGAACCCCTCCAAAACTTTTACTTAACTAAGATATTAATGTTACCTCATTTCTGGTAAAGGACATTGTGCCACATGTTCACACATCTGTTATTTTAAAAAAAAGACATAGTATAAAATGTCCATATATTTGTCATTTATAAATAAAGACAGTGTAACATGTAACATAGATGTAATTTCTAAATAAAGCCATCTTGAATTAAATCTTTAACCAAATGTTTGTTTTAATGCTACATTCTATTACAAAAATATTGAAAATTGAGATAATGACCTGACATGTCTTTGTTGCTCTCTAAAATCGTGAATAATATTTCAAACAAAGACACAAAAGTGTCGAGAAAAAAAAAGAGGGAAATCCCACAAGGGACTTAAAGCTTCAAGAAAATGGCATTATATTCAATTAGGTCAGACTGTTCCAGTTTTTTTTTTCATCATGCAATTAATTCCCAATGTCAACAAGCCAGCATCAAGTTAACCATGGCAAATGCAACTGTACACTGAAAACCCACACTTAACTCAATGGGCAACAAAAGCAAAGTGTAAAGAACATATGATCTCACTTTAAAAGAGTTCTGGACAATTTGTACCAAGCTAAAACTTTGTCTGCCCATAAAAGCTGAATATGCCAAAAGACAAAATCAAGACAAGCATCTGAATACAGTGCATGTTTGCAGTTCAAAAAAAGCAAGTCTCCTTAGTAAAACTATTTATAAACAAAACTAGTTTTACACCACAAAACATATGGGTTTCACAAACATATCACTGCATACTGCAAAGGATACTCTCATAACATAGTTAAAAACTTGGTTTCTGAAAGGACCATTACTTTAAACAAATTTTACAGTAAAATCATCCTGACTTGAATAACATACTGGAATCATTGTAATATGGTCCTATGGCAA